AGATTACTGTTCCTGTTACAAAATCATTTATAGAATATATAAAGACACAACCAATTGTATTTGAAGTTTTTGGACATTATCAAAAACACCCTCTTCACAATGATGCTAAACAAGATAGTACTTTGTATGTTCAATTAAATATTGAATTAAAATCAGGAATGTTAAATAAAATTAGAATACATTATTGTTTTATCAATATTCTAGTGTTCGACAGCCTCCAAGAAGAATGTTACCTCCATCAATACCAATTAGTTTACCAGTACGTTCTCCAAAGTTTGGAGTATTACCTTCACTGTGCACATCACACATACATGCCAAGTATGATTTATTGGTTTGGTTTGAAATATGTGAACTTGGTAAGCTACTTGATAAATTAATAAATTGTTTTAGTTAAATAAAATATATGTATTAGGTCCTGATGGGGATTATGTACCTTGTGTGGTTGATCATAGTGAAGATCTACCATGTCGTGGACTGTTTATGCTACATCAAGGTTTACAGCGCCGCATACGCATTACAGTAGTACATGAAACTGCTCCAGAATTACGCTGGAAAGAAATACGGGAACTTGTTGTGGGCCGTATTCGCAATATACCTCAATCAGAAGATGATGATACAGACAATTCAGTACTTTCGCTTGGTTTATTCCCTGGAGAATACCTAGAAATACCTGGTGAAGATCGTTGTATGTTCCGTTTTGAAGCAGCATGGGATAGTTCATTACACAATTCTGTACTTCTTAATAGAACATCTTCTGGAGGAGAACATATCTTCATGACTATATCAGCTTATTTAGAGGCAATAATTAATAATTTAATAAAATGAGAATTTAATTGAAATAAATAAATTATTAATAAATTTTAGTTGGAAAATTGTGGATGTCCAGCAATAATTACCAAGGACTTAAGCATGGTTATCTATGGTAGAGATGCACGTACAGGACCTAGATCTTTGAAACATCTATTCAGTGGCAATTACAAAAACAGTGAAGCAAATCGGTTATCTGGAATTTACGAACTTGTGCTGAAAAGAGCTTCAGAAGCAGGTAGTCCAGGTAGTTTTCGTGACAAAAGAAAAATGCAGTAGAAACCACAAGAGTTGTTGGCTTGTAGATGTTGTAGTTAAAGTTTCTTTCATTTTAATTATGTGTTATGATAGACGTTGATTGTAATATTTTGTACAGGTGTTCAAAGACGCCAAAGACGTGTTTTGGATACAAGTTCTACATATGTCCGTGGTGAAGAAAATCTTGAAGGTTGGAAACCACGTGGTGACAGTTTAATATTTGATCATCAATGGGAACTAGAGAAACTTACCAGACTCGAAGAAGTTGGCCGGACACGACACATGATTCTTCTTAGAGAACGGCTAGGTCTTGACAAAGTACCAATCACCAAATCTGAAAAGGTTTTTCATCTATGCTTGTCTATATTAGTTTATGTGTAATATTATAAATCATACGTGTCATAGGAGGTGTGTAACATAATAGCTAAAGCATCAAGTTCCACTAAAGATATAATGAGACCACCTAGTCCTGTGGCATTGCGCAATATAGACCCTAGTGTTTATGAGCCTTGGCAAATGAATGAGAGAGAACGATTCTTGGCTACCAAATGTATTAAACTTTTCCAAGGAAGAATACCATCTAAAGTATACTGATATTTGAATTTATTAAGTAATATAAATAAATAATAAACTATTCTTTTTTAGGAAAATTTGTTACCATCTTACACTAATATACTAACTCCAACTGATGACAAAACCGATTCAAATATCAGTCATTCATCAAGCTGTGTTACCATTTCAAATCATGAGTATGATAACCATATTATTTTTGTTAAATTTTATTTTATTTATTATTGTAAATATTTTATTAAAATTTTTGATTTTAGATTATTCTCCCCGGACCGCAGTTTTCAACGTGGTTCAAATATGAATGACTCCATATACATTAATCAAGATGTTATGATTTCTTCTCATTCATCAACATCTGAACCACAACTTGTGCTTTATGTACCAGAAGTTGAAGAGATAAGAATTAGTCCAGTGGTTTCAAGGAAAGGTTATTTGAACATTTTAGAACATAAAACTAATGGATGGAAAAAACGATGGGTGGTAAATATTTTTTTTCTAATAATTAAATGTATTTAATATAAAAAAACATATTTTATAGTAAAAAAATAATCGAATGATGTTGAAATTTTGTTATTATATATTATTAATATTTTCAGACAGTAAGACGTCCATATGTATTTATATTTAGAGATGAAAAAGACCCCGTAGAAAGGGCATTGATCAATTTAACTACAGCTCAAGTTGAATATTCTGAAGATCAATTAGCCATGGTAAAAGTACCAAATTCATTCAGGTAATGTATTTACATTTCAGTTTAATTAATGCATAACATTTTTTTATCTGAAATTAAATAAGCATAATTTTAATTAAAAATAATACTAAGATTACAATAATAGATAAGTATTTATTTAAGTTTTTAACTATCTAAAACTATTAAAGTAATAATATTACAATATATAATATATTTTATATCAATAAAAGAAAAAAGAAATACAAAAATTCTGGTTTTATATTTATAATAATATTGAGATTTAAAATTTATAATGGTAATTTTTAACAGTTATTAATTAACACATACATATATTATATTTTGAATATTTATTTATTCAAGTTTAATTTAGAAGACAATTAAGATAAAACATTTAATAGGTACATTACATTTTTTTTATGTTAAAAAAAAATGTTAACAAGAATATTTTGTTTTACAATTAGTGTTGTCACCAAACATAGGGGCTATTTAATGCAAACACTATTAGACAAAGAAGTGTATGAATGGCTGTATGCCATAAACCCTCTTTTAGCCGGTCAAATTCGGTATGTTATTCGTAGGTATTGTTTATAGTTTTAAGTACAATAATATAATGTTCATTCAATATTTTTTTAGGTCAAAAACATCACGGCAAATAATGCCAAATGGACAAAATCAAAAGCCTGCATTTGTGTCTAATCCAATTGACACGCATTAAAAAAAATATCAAAGTTTATGCATACTTTTTATTTTACCTATCTGTATATTTATTTGTGTATGTCCTTAAATGTTAAATTTAATCATATTTAAATACCAGCACTGTTGTTTTGCGATATACCATTTAGTAATGTGCCATTGAATTGTTGAGCTTTGTTTTATTATGCTGCCAAACACATATAATTGCTTTAAAAAAAAAGGTTTAATATATTTTAAATTTTAAAACAAAGGTTGTGAAATAGTCGGTTCAATATTTTATTATTATTGGTCTTTCTTATCTCTTATTTTTTATACCAATTCAAAGTTAAAAGCAAAAATGATCAAATAATACTATTTTTTTTATTTCTTCAATCATTATTGTGATATTTTATTTTGTAATATTTGCTGTATACATGTTATATTTTGTTTGTAATAAATTGCAAGATAAGATTACTCCTTTGCTCTAGTCAAATATATATCATATTATTATTTATTATGTTTAAATGCATACTATTAAATTATTTATGAAATAAAGTTTGAAAAAATTAATAAGTTTTGTTGTTGAACTATATATATATATTATTCAATATAAAAAAAAACATTAATAATGCAAGAAAAACAATTTTCTTATTTTTTTCAACTGATGATATAAAAATCAACCATTGTATGTAATATTTGGTACTGTCCTATAATAATATATATAAAATAAAAGTTATGTAAATTATTATAATAAATATTATTATATTTATTAATTTTAAATGTGGAATCAATGGTTATAGTCAATATGAGTGCTTTTGAATTAAATTTTTATAGTTTCTCAATTAAAAATCAATATAGCCCTTGTATTAATATAATTATCACAAAATAATTATAGTTGCTGAAATATGTATGTTCAATAATATTGCACTCATATTTAGTATTTATCTATATAAATAATATATTAAATTTAATTATTGAATACTCGAGTCAGTCTTTTGCAATAACAATTTAATAAATTTAGTCAAAATTCTTTTAAATTAATAATTCTTTATTATTATCATTACTACATATTAGAATTATACTCACATAAATTGTGAGATATGTAGATACATGTATTCATAAAGTCATTACATAACTAATGTTTAAATCAATATTTTAGAATTATTTTTAAACAATTCATATTTGAGCTGAAAATTACAATAGCCTAACTTGTCAAAAAAAAAAATTACTTCATTCTACAGTTTAAACTAATTACTGATTTAGTACTTAGTAGGTACTAAGTTGTGATATTATGCAACTGTAGGTAAGTCAATTAATAGTTTACAGTGATATTATATAATACCTATGATGACTAATGCAGTATTCTTGAAAATAAAATAGACAATCGTATAATTTGCAGAATGATTCCACTACAATCGCTAAAAAAAAAAAATCGTTAAGATTATTTAAATGCTTTGCTCATTGCTGAAAAACGTACATAAAATGAGGTTTTTCATTGACAAATTAATTTGTCAATAATTATGTAATGTCTTAACCAATTATGTACCGTTTATACCTCATGGTTGATCTGTGAAAATTATAAAAAAAATCTTGGTCATTACTTAATACTTATTAGTAATTACTTTTGCAATTAATTATTTTTTTTTTTTTTTTTTAATTTAAAATTATTGGTTTTATTATTATTTTTGTTTTCATTGTTTTCAAATTTCAATCACATTATATTTAGTGTTTTTGAAGGTAACATTAGAGAAATTTTGTTTTACCGATCCGGTCACACTGTATAATACAATCTTTTATCAACCTGTTTTTTACATTTATTTACAACTTCAGTAACTCGTTTGCGACTTGGCGTAGCTATCGTGTAACGTGTTGCCATTAATGTATCCTCCAGTAAAGTTTTTTATTTAATTTACAAAGTTCTTTCGATATAATTGAAAGTCCTATACACATATACACATCGGAAATTATTATTTTATTTAACTGTTTATATTTTATGTGAAAAATGTCGAGTTTTAAGCAAACGCCATTAACCTGCAGTGGACACACCAGGCCTGTCGTACACTTGGATTTCAGCGACAACACCGACTATGGATATTTTTTAATATCTGCGTGCAAAGGTAATATATAAATTCTTTTGGCGCTGTTTATATAATTTGCTTGTTAAATTGTTTTTCCGTTGATTCAGATGGAAAACCCATGTTGAGACAAGGAGATACTGGTGATTGGATTGGTACATTTGAAGGCCACAAAGGTGCCGTTTGGGGGGTAGCCTTGAACAAAGAAGCGACAGTAGCTGCAAGTGGTGCTGCAGATTTTGAAGCTAAGGTACGAATACTATTTTTTAATGAAATAAATAACTAGTTTTAGCCTTGAGTTTAACTTCCTTGTGTATTATTGTTTATTTGCTTCCTAGATCATTGTCCATGTTTGTATATGGACATTGTTTCATTATTTATTTGAAATAATGATAGTTGTAAATAAAAATCAATTTATTTTTTTTATTAAAATATAAGTAATTATTCAGATATTAACAATAGTTTTATTTGTACTTAAAAATACTTTGATAATATTTAACATGAATATTAAGATATGTATCTACAATTAATAATATATTTACTATAGTTAAATCGGTTTAAAAGATTTTATAGACAATACATTTTTTAGAATTAATCTCTTTTTTTAATATTTACTTTATTTTTATTTTTCTTAGTTGATTATTGAGTTTTAATGTATCTAAATTAATTCTTAAAAAAACTAAAATAAATTTGTTTATAAAAATATTTCTAAATCTTATTTAATTCATCCAGTTAAATACATACTGATGGTATATATTTACCATATTGATAGCTAAAGAATGATCGCATCTCTTAATTATAAAATGTAATAATTACTTAAAGTTAGAAATGTTTATTGTAATTATCCATAAATTACAATAATGGTATCTTCATATTTCCTACAATTTACCCTTATATCTAAAACTGAAAAGCATGTCTTTAAAACTGACTTATTGAAGCCACTTAAACACACAACCATAGTATTCTCATTGATTATGTTTAATTCATTTAGTATGTAATGTAGTTAATAGATATTCTAATGTTATTTACTAGATAATAATAATAATAGACAGGATCAAAATACAAAAGTACATGAAAATCATTTAAAAAAAAACAAAAATTCAAAAAATTATTCATCAATATGATTAAAAACTTTTAAAATACTTATACTTTAATTTTGTATTATTAGTAATAGGTTGAGGAGCAAATTAAAAGACAGATGTTATTAAGAAAGTGAATTAGAAATCAAAAATAACAATTATAATTTTTAAATTATATCATTATTATTATTATATTTTTAGTGATAACTTTTAAAATATATATTTTGAATAAGTATAATGGTTTAAAATAATGGTCAGAAATTGGCTGAGTCCAGACTATAGAAGGCAAAATATCTTAATTAGATTATATGATTAATTTATTATAAAAATTTGATAAACAATTGTCTGAGCCTCATTTATTTATTATTTTAATCTTCTGGACTCCAATAGAAATTACTTATCAACCACTGGCTTATAAAATTAAAAAAAAAAAACATTGATATTGAAAATGTATATATCTGTAAAAACAAAACTTTTAAAAATTTCATAGCTTGTCAAAAAATTAATATAATGTTAAAATTATTAACACGTTAACTGTCATATGACTGCCGGTGGTCATTCAATAAGTATTTGTTATATACCAAACATAATTTTCAATGTTTTCCAAATTTGTATATACTAAATAATTTAAAAAATAAATAATTAATTATAGGTACCTATATCACAAAGATTGTAATTATTCCTGCTACACCACGGTCCATATTTTGGTGCATTATTGTAGCATCATAAAAAAGTTAATAATATAAAACTAAATTAATTTATGGTTGCCCACAGACATGTGGCAGTTAATGCATTAAAAATATAAATCAGCTTCTTATTTTCATGAAATATAATCTTTATTTTTGATTTTGAGTTTTGTATCATTTCAGTATTTTCTTAAGCTGATAATGAGTTATGATATAGTAATAATTAGTTGAAAATAAAAACAAACATAAATCATAAAATTGTAAAAAAGAAGTAATGAAAATGTTGTTGTATAAACAAAAAAAAACTTTATTTTTAATATTTTATTACAAATTACAAAAAGTAGTATTTTGACCTAACTTTTAACTATAAAAAGAATTTAAAATTTTTAGAACATTTGCTATATTTTTTTATTCACAAAATAGTAATATCATTTGAAATTCACATAGTTTTATGTTATTGTAATATGATTGGAATACAAAAAAAAAATCTATCGCTCATGAATTATAAATCTTATTTATATTTTGGATTTATAAAGCTTATTTATTGTTTTTATATAATACATATATATATGTATGTATTTATTTTCAAAGTGGGCATACTGGCACAGGTGAATTTAACTTTCCCTGTACAAAATATGTTTAGTCCTCTATTTGATTCAAAAACTGAACAAATATTTTTAAAATATTAAATTATGATTAGAATTAAACTGCTCTATTTTATAACTTTTCTCTAGTTATTGCTGTATTTACTAAGTAGTTCTACTTTTTTTGTAATATTATCACAAACAATTATTATTTTATTATTTCATCTAAAAATTACCTAAATTTGGTATTTAAAACATTTAAATTATCAATATAAGTGCTTTCTTAAAGACTTCCATGTTTTTCCTCTCCTTATATTATAAAATTCTAGGTATCTGTGCCTATAATGAGGAAATATAAAACTATAAAAAGAAACCCATTAATTGTTCTTGGAAAAATCTTTATTTTATTTAATTGTCAAAAAACTTATAAATTGGAAAAAGTAAATAATTGCATCTTTATAAGTACTAAAAATTTATGACCTAAACATCCTAGTTTTTCTTAATTTAAGTTTTTTGGTTTTTATGTATTAGTTTTCAACAAATAAAATAAAAAATGTTCTTTATTGCCTTACAAAACTAAATGTTTATTAGAAATCAAATAAAATTTGTTTTTTTTGTATTCCAGCATTATTAGAGTGTTACTATATTTTATATTATGGTATATTAAAACAAAAATAATGTAAAAAGAAGACCTTAGCCAGTATGCCAAATCATATTATGTTTTAATTTCATCAGTGATTTTAAGTTTGACAAAAATGATTGAAAATGGCTTATTTAAAAGTAATTATAACAAAAATGATTTAGCTTACATAAAAATGATTCAATGTCTTCAGAATTGTAAGATGTTTCTCTTTTAATTAATGATATGTTTATAAATATTAATAAATCGACTGTAAAATGTATTATATTTTTATTGCATATTTTAATATTTTATGTTACATAATATAAATGTTACCCTAGTTATCATAATAAAACAATTCTAAAATATAAATGTTTATCCTTTTTAACAATTAAATTGTTGATTAAAAACATTTAGGACTAAAGTTTTTGTAAACTAATCTTTTGAATATTCAAGAAAACATAGTTATCATAATTATAACATAATTCAAGTGATAAGGAATATTTATATTTATATTATTGATTTATTGCTGTACTGGTAAAGGTTTTTGGATGTCTTAGTTTCCAGTATCATCCCCTTATTTTTAGAATAGTATTCAATTAAAATGTGTTTGAAATATAGAAAAATACACCAACTGTCATAGAAATGCTGTTTTTCAGAGCTTTCTAATTAATAATTTTAATTTTATTATCTGATTTAAGTTCATACTGATAGGCGATAGCTAGATTTTATGTTTTCTTTTTTTCTCATAAATAAAGGGTGGGTATTATTTTATTTAAAATAAAGTCAAATATAAAGTATTATTATATTTTAACCTTTGAATAATTTTTTGTTAAGGGTTTAGTTGACATTATTTTTATTCTATTTCATTGTTTTTTGTATTTGAACGCTTTAATTTAATATCATAAATTAATTAAAGTTATAATTTTACAGTATTTTGTTTATAACCTGTATTAAAATTTGGGGTTTTACTTATTTTTTTATTATTGATTTTCATTTGATAATTTAAATTTTAATAAAAAAATTCAAGTTTAAATAATTTAAAAAAGATAGCATAATATAATAAACTACAATTTGTAATCATGTAATTAAATAAGTTATTATTATACTGCTATCTAAGCTAGTGTTATGAATAAAGTGCTCTCCAATACAAAAATGTTGATTTGTATATTATCTTCTATGCATTAATCTTCTAATTCTAAATATCTAATAAATCAATTTATTATGTGCTCCTATTTGTTATATATTTACATTGTATATACCATCTAATCTATCTATGTTGTTTTATAATTTTTGATAACTATACAATTATTATGCATATTACATCATAAAAATATGTTAGTAATGAATTTAAAAAATATCCTCAACATTTTTTGATTTATATTGTTAAATATTTATTTTATTTTTAATTAGAAAAAATGTTTAAAGAATTCTGTAATAACTAAATTAAATAAATTGAAGTTTTTAAAAAGTAATAATAAGTAGTTTTACGTAGGTGTTATAAGTAAATCAGAAATTCAGAAAAATAATCTTGGATATGATTATAATATAATATTTAAACTTTAATGTATAAATAAAATTAACATTGTTTTAGATCATTATTATTTTATATTAGTAGTCTGTTCATGGAAGGTATTTCATATTTATCAAGGATAAATGTTTGTAGAACAGGATGTAATTTTGTTTATTTTAATAATATACAATACTTTTATTATTTTATGACTTAAATAATTTATATAACAGTACATTAGTAACAGCTAATAATAAATTCAGGTTTTTAATAAATATCTTCTAAACCTTGATTTGATTTTATTATGGAATTATATATATTTCATAATGAAATAATAAATTATTTAGTAATTTTTAGATAAATTACTTAGGTAAATCTTTATACTTACATTAAGTACATGCATGGATTAAAATATATTTTGAAATATATATATGTAATTAACTTATTATTTAATAAAACTTCAAGTTCTAAAATAATATTTAAATATCATAAGGCAAAGGCATTTTTTCTACCGGTATGGTCTAACCTATTGTTACTGACAAGTCAATTTACTCATACATATAATTACCAAGGGTCGCCTAAAGAATAAAATTATATTTATCTTTATTTTATTAAAATCTTATTATTCAATAAACAAGTTATCAAATTAGGTACTGATTAATATTAGTATATAATTATATTGATTAAGAGGTTATTTATAATATATAGATATATCTAGAACTTGGAATTTAAATATTTAATGTGTTGATTGACATTGTTTTACAAAACCTACTTTTCATTGTTTTTACTACATATATCTTCTAGGTGGAGAAAAAAGCGCTTCGAGGGCTTTATATTGAACTAGCGCCTGATCTAAACCATAATTATTATAATTTTTTTATTATTATTAATTACAATTTTAAAAATCTAAATTTACAAATTTAAAGTATAGTTTATCTATTTATTAAATTATAACTAATAATAATAGTTATATTGTCTGTTTTTTAGACTTTCAAGTTGTCTAATCCCTATTGCATTTATATGGATAAAAAGTGTAGAAATTTGTATTAATTTAAATTTTTATTTTTTTATTCAGTTTAATGCATTAAAAATGGAAATTTTTATTTGATAATCATATTCTAGCATATTATTTACATCTGATTTTCCAATGAATCTAAAATAACTTAAAATAATCTCAGTTTATATTTTATATTTTTATATGGTTTAGAGTTTTCTGAAGAAATGTATACGTGATTGTCTATATCTCTTGTACATAATCTATAGTCATAAACTTAAAATGCAAATATCTAAAGTATAGCATATTATACAAAGCTAATTAAGTTATTGCATTAAAATACATTAGATTATTTATTTATTTATTTCTACAGAATAATGGGTCTCACTGAGCAATATAAGTATTAAGCAGTAATATAAGGAGCCCATGAAGACTTATCTAATAAATGTTTTTCTTAATATTTATATGATTAGCATACAGTTAAAATCATGTAGTATTAAATATTAAAACTAAAATCATGATAGTATTTTTATAAATCTCACTATTTGTTAAAGCTTAGAAATTAATTGTCTATTAGACTAAGCAATACTTATTATTTTAATTAATAATAATTAATTACTATAATTTTTGTTACAAACCATACTCTACATTCAGATCTCGGACTACCAACTGTAGGCGACGTGGCCACATCCTCCTATAAGCGTTACTGCTCTCACCTAATCAACCTTCTCAATCCACTTATTCTCACTCTCAACTCCGCAAACATTCCTGGTAATCCACCGAGAAGACTAAAGAGGCACTGGTGTCGCGATTTAATTAGCTAGCATTTAAATAACTGTATAATACTGTATGATATAAAAATAAAAAATAAAAAAAAACGTTAACATATGTGTATGTATATAATGTAAAATAGCCAAACAAATATCACGTCGAGTGTTACTGCTGGGTAGCTACTCCCCTCACGATTTCACTGCCAACTGTACTTTTCAACTTATGCTTGTTGTAACTACTATTACAGATTGTATATATTCAAATAAATGTTTAAAAAAAAAAAATTATAATTTTACTAATATTGTAAAATACTTGTAAGAAAGTATTTTAATTGCTCTAAATTGACCATCAATAAAATCTTTTGAATATAATATTGTGCTTTTAAAAGTTATTAAATTTAAAAAAATCTATCTACAAAATGTATAAAAACAAGTTATAAATACTATTTATGTGTATTTTAATGATTAATGAAATCAAATATTTTTATTGAAAATCAGTAGCCAAAGATAAAAAATTCAAGTACAAAATTATTCTCTTTTAAACTTTATGAACTCTAACCAAAACTATATAAGAATTATTAAAAAAATTAATACATATCAATTATATTTTTATATTTTATATCCATGAATAATTATTTCTTAATCAAAGCTATAATTTTAAAATAGCACTTTACTTTAATTATTATTATAATTAAAAGTAATTAAAAATTGTATTTATATAATTGTGTAAGTTAAACCTAAGTTATAACTAATAACTATTAAATAATTCCATACAAATTAAATATACTTATAAAATTAGTTGTGTAAAAAATGTGTATATTACTACATATGTGTTAATTACTATAAATTTTAAATTTTCAGATTTGGGATGCAAAAACTGGTGGTGAAGTACAATCTTTTCAACATAAACATATTGTAAAAAGTGTAAATTTCTCAAGAGACAGTGTTTTCCTTGCAACTGGCTCTAATGAAAAATTGCTCAGAATATTTGATCTCAACAAATCAGCTGGTTAGTATTCTATACAGGAAAAGTTATACGTTTTAATGGACATTATTTATTAGAGCGTAAAATATTATATATGGGCATATGAGTTTTAGTGACAATATTATACCTTTGTTATTTTTTTTCTAATATAGTACTATCCAGTCTTATCAGGAACTGTTTTCTCATGAATTTAAACAACACTATTATCTGTATACGTGATTTTAATTCAAGGCTTTCCACTTCTAATGTTTGTAACAGTAGCTCAAGCCAATAAACTTTACATGGTCGATCTGTCACTGGCCTATTGGCCTTGGATTATTTTATAACAGCGAGCTGTTTTCATATCCCACCCCAACCTAAATATAGTAGTATTATTAAAATACAAATAATTAAACAGGGTTTGAAGTTGATAATTGTTATATATCTTTCTTTTTTCTAAGGTTTTTATTTATTACTTATTTTATTAAAAAAAATATTTTTTATTTTATTTCAATACACATTTGAAAATTAATGTTAACAATTTTGATACCCCATTCTTTACAGAATATTATTTACTATTACATTTTAAGTTGTAATATATACTGTAAACTATATTATAATGTATTAAAAAAAAAAAAAAATTGAAACAAGTACAATTTTTACTTAATTAGATTTTTAAAAATTAAATTACAAAACTGGAATAGGTACAAACAAATATTCAATACAAATTTAAAATCTTTTAAAATTTAGGTTCTGATTTATCTATCTGTTGTAAATTGTGATAATTTTCTCAAATTTTTAAAATGTATTATTTTTTGGTAATAAAATTAATTATATTGGTTTACTGAGGTATGTTATATTAAATTTTTACAGCATATCTTTAAACACAAAAATAGTTATTGTAAATAATTAATATTTTATTTTATTCATGATTATGGAGAACAAATAATAGTTAATACTATTTACACATTAATAATTTTATATTATTGACAAAATCCAAGAAAAAAATAATTAATTCATTTATATTATATTAGTAATATTATGGTTATGAATTTGAGGTAAATTTAATTTTTTTTAAATACTGAAATGAGCATATCTGACTCGTTTTTATTGTTTGTAGTTCATAGTCTTGTCTGACTGGGAAATCTTTCATGATTTGTGATACTGTCAGATTTCAATAAATTTTTTTTTTTTTTTATAGAAGATGAAATAGTAAATTTTATTTAGATTACATCAGACTTTGATTCAAAATACTATATTTTCAGAAGTATTTTGAAAATTTTATTTTGCCTAGAAGAGAGTGCTAATATATATATTTGCTGGGAAAATATGTTCTTACAGTTATGTTTGATTTGCAATTAAATATTTTTTTACATTCATTTCCCTAAAATACCTTCTAGATTTGATTTACTTTCAAAAACCATTCTTTAAGTTGAACATTGGAGTATTTTTACTGTTTCTAAAAGTGATGCCTAACAGATATATAAAAAATATTACTATAAAATCAATACATTCATTGTGTGTGTTCCACTTAGGATTCAATTAATAATCAAATTCTGACTATTCATCAAGGTATAGTTTTTTTTTTCTAGGATAATTTTTAACTGTGGAAAATAATGAGTTAATTATATTTTTTCCATGTCTGTATATCGTGTTATACAATGTAACTAAAAAATAGAAATTACTTAAAGTTTTGCTCTTTAATAACTAGCTGACTTTAACACCCTTAATATTTAATTTTTTCTTATTAATTAAAAATATAATTATTATTAAATAATTATTACATCCCAATCTAGATACATTAGCAGATTGTAGACGTGCTGCTAACCTTAAATTTCTAACTAAATTATTGAACAAACAAATTGATTCACCTTACCTACTGTCTCAAATGTTTTTTAATAACTCTTCACACTTTACTCAATACCATGTTTTTTACCAATAATTTCCTCAGCTTTGATTAAAATAAATGTTGTTGTTATATGTCTTCTATAGCCAATTCTGACCCCTCCTTTTTATTTCATATAATGATCAAATTGCTTAGTTATAATTATTATACATATTTATAACACTTTTATTTTTGTTGTATTTGTAATAAATTGTTAATTGGGCACATATTCAAAAATAAAATCAATTTAATTTTTTTCAACTAATTATAAACATAAAAATTATATTTTATACATTAATATTTTTTTTTATTAACATTTAACAAGTAGTTATTAAAACTCAACACTTAAAGTTTAAAGCATGAATAAATTTGAACATGCATAATAGTACTTAAACAAAGTAATAATGAAATAGTTTTAAAATAATCTATATTATTATATTATAAATAAAAGTGATTAAAACTTACAGGAAAGTTTAATAATACTATGGACTAGTTTATGTAGGATCCTACTAAGGAGCAAAATGAAATCAATTTATGCCATTAATGCTAAAATTTAAATGTACATTTTTTTTAAGATTTTATAAGTACTTTTAAGGTTTTATATTACATTTAATTTTTTAATAGCTTATGCATATTTAAATAAGTAATAACATTTCATAGATATATATATTTAAATATTTGTATATGGTATATTGTATTTGTAACTCAAATTGTTTAGTTGACTGTATTATTTAAATTTTTTTCATGTAGAAGCTGTTACTACATTCAATGGACATACATCGGGTATAAAACATGTTATGTTCTTTCAAAATGATAGAAGAATAATTTCTTGTGCTGATGACAAGACAGTTAGAATCTGGGATCCCCTGTCTGGACAAGTATGTTAAAAAACTCTTTAAATGCTTAACTCATTTTTTTTTTTATTATTATTATTAAAATATCTATTTTTGTTATATTATTAAGGAAATTCACAAGATGGAGTTTAATGCTATACCAACCAGTTTAGAAGTGTCTAGAGACGAATCTATTGTGACAATAGCGCATGGAAATTGTGTCAGTTTTTGGAACGCTGAAAGGTAAGAATTATTTCAGTACTTGTAATTTAAATAGCATTATGTTAATTAAATATTTTTGGTAATCTACAGTTTATCAAAAGTCAATGAAGTCACTGTACCAACACTTGTGAACACGGCATCATTGCACAGGGATAAGACTATGTTTGTGTGTGGGGGGGAAGATCTTAAAATGTATAAATTTGATTATACCACAGGAAAAGAAATTGGTAAGGGTGATGATTTTGTATACCAACTGAGTGCGTAAACGTATGTATATTTAATTTTATTTTCAGAATCTTTCAAAGGTCATTTTGGACCTGTACACTGTGTCCGTTTTTCACCTGATGGTGAACTATATGCTTCTGGCTCTGAAGATGGAACTCTACGTTTGTGGCAGACAACCATTGGAAAGACATATGGCTTATGGAAGTGTGTAGACAAAGTTAGCTCACCACAAGATTTACACCAACAAGAAATAACCGCCATTTAATGTTTTAAATCAAATGTAACATACATTTCATCCAAAGCCAATTTATTTATGTTATTGAAAATGTAATTTTCATTTATATAAATCACTTTATGAATGACCAAAACATTTCCAGTTAAAAAAAAAAAAAAATTATCATTCTAAAATCTAATCAATTAATATTTTCAAATCAATAGCAGTTGATTATATTCTCAACTTTTAATAATTTAAAAAGAATCATATATTTGGTAAAACATGATAATATTACTTATCAATTGTGTACCTTTATATGAAATATTTTTCTTATTATGAATTAAATAAACCACAAGATTTAATTTTTTTTCATTCACTCATCAACGTGCTGAAATTTAAAATTAATAAATCTTTTGCCTTTTTGACATTTAAACATAACATATTAGAATACTTTGTGTTTCCAATTGCAATGTTAATGTCGTATTACATAAAGAAAATACTAAGTTAAAAAAAAAAATCAACTTAGAGTAAAGTTGATTTCATCATTTTACTGTGGGATACGAAAATGTTTATAATTATATTTAATTCCAAACAAATTGTTTAAAATTGTAATTATTGTGAAATATTGTTATTTACTTACTATTGCTTGGAACAAGACTGTATCTACTGTGTTCCAATATTATGGATACAGATTATGTCTAATATGCGGTTTAAGTTATTTTCCAAGTAACTAAAATGTTTTTACAACTTGATAATAATTTTTTTATTTATTAATATATTTATTTATACCGCAAGACTTAAGATCTTAATATTATGAGAAAGGACTTTGAAATAAATAATTTATTTATGTTTTTCAAAAATGCATTTTATTAATCTAGTACATCAATTCTTTATTTTTTGTATTATATACTATTTATTTTACATTATCCACTTGACGATCCAATAGTTTCGCTTACCTAAAATTAGTAAAATAGATTACTCATTAATTCTAAAATAATGTTTTGTTAATGTAAAAAATCAACAAGGTAATACATCATATTGGTAAATACTGAATATGTTTCTTTAGTTTAAGTTTAATTCTTTTGAAGAAATATTATAGATTTTGGATACATTAAAATGTACTAAAAAATTTATAATAGAAGAAATATTTTTTTGTATTTTGTATTATATATTTCTGTTTTACCTCTTGATTTTTTAAACTTAAAATATGTCAAATTTTATGAATATTTTTACTAACCAACTCTCACTAAAGAAATTTTATTAGGTAAAATGTGTATAGACAAAGTAACAATTTCATCTATATTGGTTATTCTCTGATGGTTAATATAAAATCCACCGGCTGAAATTATTCGATGTGCATCTCCTGAAGATAAAAAACAAGACAAATTATAATCATTCTATTTCTAATAATTTTAAAATTTAAACAATTAATTTTGAATATTACTCTCTGCTAAAAAACATTTTGCTTTCATTGCCATTTTCAGCACAGTTATGCCAGGTTCAAGCATCAATTCAACAACAGTTGCACCATTAAATATTTTTAAAATATCATTAACGCCTAACGTACTAAGGGTTTCAATACTGTTATCGTATAATGCCGATGTTGCTAACAATGCTTCTTGAAGACCCTCTTCTAAAAACATACAGACATAATCAATTAACAAAAGTTAAATACATAATATATAATATGATTTTTACCTCCGTGCACTAATGTGGTAACTTGACGTGCCAATGACTCATGAGGAATTCGTTTATCGGGAGTTGCCTGAAATACAATTTTTAAAAAGTAATAATTTTTTTCATATTTTATTATTATTTACCTTATGTTTTCTCATCAGTTCAGCTATTTCAGACAATGAAAGGAATGTAAACATTTTTAACAGTTTCTCTACATCAGCATCTACTGTACGTATCATAAACTGGTATAGTTCAAAAGGTGAAGTTCGATCTGAGTTAAGCCATACAGCATTTTGAGCTGATTTACCATACTTGTCTCCAGAGTCTGTAGTTATAAGTGGTACTGTGAGCCCTGTAAATAAAAGACATTTTACATTTTTATAATAAATAGTTAAATAATTTAAGCTTTATGCTGGTTCAAAGCTAGGAGATGCAATTATTTTCACTAAAGAAAACAACATTTTTAAACAATGTCTATTTTAGTATCAAACACATACACAGACAACAATTTTTTATAGTTTAAACCATTTAAATGCAACAAAATAAAAAAAAATTAATAGTTAAATGGATTTAATTTATATATAATAAAAAATAATTATAGTTTACCATAAACTTTAGCACTTTTTTGTCGACTAATTAGTTCTTGACCAGACATAATGTTACCCATTTGATCGTTTCCTCCTATCTAAAATGAAATAAAACTATTATTTGATATTATTTTAAAATGTTTATATTGTCAAACCTACTTGAAATGAACATTTATATTCATTAAATAAATGTAACCAATCATAAGCTTGGAAAGCCTGGTAAGTGAACTCTGTAAAACTCATTCCACTACCAGCTAAACGAGTCTTAACACTGTCCCTGGACAACATTGTACCCATTCTGAAATTTCGGCCAATATTGTTCATGAAGTCAATGACACCAATATCTTTGTACCAATCCATGTTATTAAGTATTCTGAAAATACAAAAATTGTTATATAAATTTAAAATGTATAAATGTTTTTTGTTTTAAAACTGATTTTAAATTATTAAAATGAAAAAAATCAAGCTAAGTCAAGAATACCTCAAAATGCTCACATTGGTTCTAGCAGAGGATCTTTTTGTTTCCAAAAGTATTTAGCATGATTATTAAATATAGTTTGTAGACTACGAGCAATGCCTTTAATGTTATGGGATAACATCTGTGAAGACTGTTTATCTCGATCCTTTGACTTTCCACTTGGATCACCTATTTGGGCTGTAGCTCCACCAATCTATAAATTGAACAATAAATGTGAACAATTTATAAAAACACTCATAAACAAAATAAATAATAACTGACCAATGCTATAACTTTATGGTTGGCACGCTGCCAATGCAATAGGTTTATAATTACAAGTAAGTTTCCTATATGTAAGCTGTCCGCTGTTGGGTCAAATCCGGCATAAACACATTGATTTCTCTTGGTTAGTAAATCAATTATTTCATTGCTAAAATATAACAATAAGGATACAATAATTATGCTAAAAGACAGAATTCAGTACAAACAATTAAATTTACAGTGATTATAAATTTTAAAGTTCTTTTGCTTCAAAAATAATCTATACACATTTAATTATTCACTTGATGATTACCTAGAATTATCAGGAAACATGTTTTGTAATATTTGTCGTTCGTATAATTTCAACACGTTCCTGTTGGAGTAGAATCGCTGGAGACGATGATGGCTGTATAAAACGTCATAACTGCGGTTGAAGGCGATCACTAACCGACGCTTAAACAATAGACAACGACACATTTTTTGAAAGAATTAAATAACAAACGATCAATTAATCAAGTGACAGCAATGAATTTCTTAAACACAAAATTTGGAAATCGAATTAACATTATTACATTAATTTGCCGACAGGTAATAGCAATGATAAAGTGTAGATAACACGTAGAGATAACAATGTGATAACTATTTACGAATTACACAGATATATCTGTGACGAATTACGATTAAAGAAAATATTATTAAACATCACGGCGACACGGCCAAAGATATCATTCCGGAATTAAGTATTGAAACATAGACCTAACGGCTTAAGAGTTAAGAGGTCTACACTCTACGTATTGAAAGCGCTATTCAGAATTTCAAATAATCATTAGCGCTCCCGGTGAATAACATTAGTAACTATTTGAAAAACATTGATTTTTGAATTGTGCGGGATTTCAAAAGTACCTATATATATATTTTTTAATAATTTATTGTTTTCCGTTCAAAGTATGAATATTATGATAAATCTTACTAAACATCTATTATATTAAATTTATTATCAGAGGTTACTCTATCCACTGTAAGTTATAAATTATAAATACCAATGTTATTTAGCTTATATGCTGAGAATTAATAGACATTCTTATATAATTTGAGATTTTGAGTTAATATTAAAATCATAATACTTGGAAATGTCTTGTTTCTATGTACAAGAATCACATGGGTACAATAATTTTCAAAAACATATTTGGCATTCCAAAATATGACCAAGAAAAAAGAAGTGGAAAGAAGCCTCATGAATTAAAAAAAAATAAGATTGTGTTTGCTCTAATCACTTTAAATAAGCAGGTTTAATTAGTACATAGAATTCAGGTGAATGTCAAAGCATATAATATGGTAAGTAGTGTACACAGATAATGTTAGGTAGTGTAAGTATTTATTACATAGATTAAAATCTGTCTAAATTATGAACAGTTATAATTTAACAAATGATTGAAAATGTGATTGTAATTATACCAAATACTGTCAGTATATTCGATATTCATTTAATAGAGCCACCTAAAAAGTGGAATATTGCTAATGTGGAAGATATACAAATAAAACAAAATTAATTATTTGAATAAGTACATCATAAAGATATTAAATTACCTAACATTTAATTGACTTCAACTTGGGTCGGGGGCGTCATTTCAGGTTTTTTTCGGATGTGTGAGGTTTCAAGCAGGCCATTTTGAAATTTCACCAGGCCATTTGAAAAAGATATATGTAAATGTACAAAATACAGTTTTCAATTATTTCCACAAACATCGCATGCATCGAATTATTGAATCAATATAAATGGGAAAAACCAATTTAAAAACTAAAATTTAAAAAATAATTAACAATCATAATAATTCACAGTATACAACAATATTGATTAATGTCAAAATAAAAATACCATTTAAGAAGATTTAATCTTGAACATTATTTCAGCAGGGCGCAGGCCAATTAATATTATTTTAAAAGTATGTCACATCATTATTTTTTATTATTTAAATTAAAATATATTTTCGATACAAAAAGTAACATATGTTGCTGCTATTGACAATTATATGAACATACTGTAAAGTGTATTATAGTGTTGCAATACATAATATTCTGTGACTCAGTTTGTTATTATAAATAATACATACTTACCTTGAATAATATATTCTGTTTAAAAATTATTAAGCCTACGTTTATTGTAAAAATATATTAACGTATACTATACTATAAGATCTATAAAATCATACAGAATATACCTAATATTATGTCCGACGTCGAAATCCGATTCCCGTCCGCTGCTGTCTGCTCAGTGATTCTGTTGGTTTCAGCCAAATCACATACAAATGATCAGTCCGAAAAAGAATGCCGCAATTTTTCCGAGTCGATCATAAGGCAATATAGATCAATGTCTAATATTGTAGTGACGTCTGGTGCGGGTGATGCATCAGAGATGCGATCGTCGTCTTCGTTATTGATATGGCAGATTTGTGCGGCCCGGCAAAGCCGGACGTGGCAACGGGCGACTTCATAAGTCCATCAAGAAAATTATGGAATTTAATGCCGAACATTCGCATGGCGCTTGATGCAACTGAAGCAATCGAATTTGAGTGCATTCCGTTGCAAGTTTTGGCTGAGATTCAAAACGGAACAACACTGGTCTGTGTGCACACTTGTTTAGACTCTGCAATAACCAGATACAGTGCTGGAACAAAGCCAGCGACAACAACGGTCGAACTTAAAAAATGCTGTTCGTTGTGTAAAAGGACAAAACAATTTGTCCGATTTATGTTTATGAAAAAAAATAATATAACTCATAATGTCTGAACATATGATTGCGTATATAAGTTAAAATAAAAATCAGGTACCTGTTTAATATACTAGGATAGTTATTGAAAACACTATTAATTAACAGAAATAAATGTTTTATTATGTTATTTGATTGATTTTTATTTGATGTATTATTATTAACTGGTTAACTGCTACGTCATTTTTCAGTACATTGCCAAAAGCGCCACGTGTACCATTTTTGGTACACTTGTTGTTTTTCCAATAAGTTTTTGTGTGCCAGTAGTGGTACACGGGAGTCTTTGCCAAAAAGTGTTAAGTGTACCTATTATAGTACACGTAAATACGATTTTAACACAGGAAAATATTTCGTAGCCCACCAGACAAACAAATTTTCGACCAGCCCATAGATATCTTATGAATTCATTTTTTAAGGTAAAAAAAATAAAAAAAACAATTTTAATTTTAAATAATGTATGTATTCTAATAATATTATAATTATAATTTAATTATATTACATTTTATAATATACATTATGATTAGAAATATAACTAATGATTATTTTACTTTAATATTATGGTTCGTTGAAAAGCATTGTAGACAATAATATCTTTCACATACTTCACATTTTGTGTGTACACGTTTTGCTTTTTTTCTTGCATTGATCGTGCCTATAACAAAATAAAATCAAAATAGTAGAAATATACATCGCCCCAATAATATTCAATAATTTAATGTTTTACCTTCTTCACGGCAACATTGCCTGTAACATCCATAGCATCTTGCCCTTTTTTTATCTTTGACTAAAGTATGGTGTGGTATAATTGTAGATGTTTGTTGCGAGTTGACCTCTTTTTTTTTAACCATGTCGAGAGCAATGTCTTCTCTAAATTGTGTAATAGATTTGTTGTTATTGGTGACTGCTTTGTAAAGACTAAATGCATTTACTACTGCTGTATTACATATTATGTCAAAGGCTACTTTACGATACCATTTTACTCCTTTACGCAAACAGGTGTGGTAAGCACCTATCTGATCACTTACATCAATCAATCCTTTGCCACGGTTATAATCAATAATCACATTAGGTTTTATTTTTTTTCCACGTTTCATTTGAACTTCGTTCATTGAATTACCATGTTTAGTTGAAATCATGAGAACATCTCTTCTATCTTTCCATTTTAGAACTGTTACACCAAGGCCATTCTGTTTAGCTATCATTTCACCTCTTTTCAATTTTGTTGTCACTATTTCTTTTGGAATCCGTTTTCTGTTTTTTCGTAAAGTTCCCACCAAATGAGTATTTCTATCCAATAATTTTTCAGCAAGGTCTATACTGTTGTACCAATTATCGGCATATAAAGTTCGTCCAAAATCTAAGTAGTCCGATAATAGTTCAAACACCACTTTAGTAGCAACTGAAGTATTGTCGGAAGCTTCTTTTCCACTATAAATTTTATATTTTGAAGTATAAAAATCAGTAGTGCACAATTTAAAAATTTTTATACCATAGCGATGTCTTTTAGATGCATTGTATTGTCTAAATAACAGTCGTCCCGAAAACGGAACCATTGACTCATCAATACACATTGAATCATTAGGTATAAGTACTGCATTAAATTTATAGACAAGCAAATCAATAAGTGGTTGAATTTTATACAAACGGTTATAAGATGTAGCTGTATTATTATCAGAAAAATGTAATACACTTAGTAGTAATTCAAAACGGTTTTTCGACATATATTGAGGAATGTTGCTCGAAAATAACGTTGTATTTCTCCAATAATGGCCTATGGTAGGCATTTTATCCAATCCCATCCATATAACTAAACCGAAAAAAGTTTTAATTTCTTTTACATCGGTTTCTTTCCACTTTTTTATTCGAGCATTACGAGATAGATTGCATGAATTTCTTTTATCATTTGCATACCGATTAGTCTCGAGTACTATAAGTTTTAAAACTTCGTCATCAAAAAATAATGCAAAAAAATCATAAGGGCTACAGTCAATCATTGTTTCAACAATATCCTCATTTATCCCAACACATTCATTATTTGGATTATAAATTACATTAGAATTTGGTTGTTCGTCTATAACATTATTCCAATCATTACCATCTCCACGCATCACAGGAGAAGCAGAAGACTCATCCTCGGAACTACTGTACACATCTTCATCATTCCAGTTGGGATCTTCGTCAGTATCGTCAAACGAACTTTCTGAAGATAAATCTAATAAACTAGAAATTTCATTACGATTCATTTTGTTTTTATTACACACGCAATATTATAAAACACTAACGACCACGTACGCGCGTATACGATAACTAACAACTATCAAGGAACAGAAAAATGTATAACAAGATAACAATTCAATAGGTATTATTTGTATACAAGTCTAAAAATATACTTTTTCCCAACAATCGTATTTTACAATTTATAATACAAAATCATTATCAGTTATGAAAACGCACTCAACGAGTGGTCAAAAATAGTGTTATTGACAGATACTATTCAAGGATATTACCTTAGTAACGAAATTATAATTAATTATCGAATTATATTTAGTTTTGACTTTCCCAGGGGGCTACGTGTACCATATTTGGTACACGATTGAAAATCATTAATTTCGATATAAAAACACATTATTTAATCACATAATAAACTAAAATAAAAATACCAAACTTTTTCATAAAGTTTTAGGTCCGTAGCAAATAAGGCATGTTCGCTACTTTTTGGATTAGCAAGAATGGCTAATCAACCATGTACCAAAAATGGTACCCATAGCGGTTAACCTGTTAAATAAGGTTAACATGCATTAGTGAACATTTTGAATTTATATTATTTTATAGATAGATACCTACTTTCAGTATTTAGTACTATTTTAAAAGTAAAGGGTGGTGTCGCACATTTTGATCTCCCCCCACCCCCAAAATGACGCCCCTGACTTAAAAACTTTTAAAGAGAACATTCCTGTTATAAAAATTAACGATATGAAAGAAATAATGAATAAACCAGTTCAGTGTACTAGAGACTTTAATATTAGCAAATTAAAAGAGAAAACTGATAGTATGATTGAGAAAGGTATTTGCGATTTTAACGATATTTTTCAAGAGCATAATTATTTTGATAATCCATCAACAGTTTTTGAATGTGTTGTGTATTTCTTAACTAGGTAAACGGTGCTGTTATATTATATAATATATTTACATATATTTTATTTTATTTTTTAATTATTATGTTGTACTAACATGTTTTTAGGTATATAAATAAAAATACAATTAAACACATTAAAAGCAAAATGTGCTTAAATAGCTTAAAACTTTAGGAAGATCAAGTTGTTGCACCAGAAAAGAATCTTATAAATTTCAAGACGAAAGGGTTTTTTAATACGTCTAAAAAAAATTTATAACATAATAATAAAATTAATTGAAATATGTTTTTCAAAACACGAGGAGTCACGAAATGTACTTAAAGATCTAAGTATCTATAGCCGTGTAAAATATACAGGTTCATAAGTTTAGGCATATATTAATATGTACTTGGCAGTCATGACAGTCTATGCACTGACATTTACCAATTGCGGCTCAAAGTAGGTAACCTTTTTACCTTTTCATCTATCCCTATTCTATCCTATTGTGTTCGATAGGTTAGGTAAGAATAAAGTGTACCTAAGCAATGGAAATTTACAAAATGTTAAACGAACAAAATAAACAAATATTAGTAATATTTAAATATTAATATACAAATAGTTCCATTCATAAAATATTTAAAACACAAAATATACTTGCCATATGTATTTATTAAATAGTTGTTTATAAAATTAGAAATGAATTTAATTATTTTACCAAGTAAGAAATTATTAATTATTAATTTTCCCATTTAGGTCTCAGAAGTTGGTGTATTATTTATAATAATAATTATAAACGAGACATATATACGTATATAATGTATATCATTAAATATTTTAATAACGAATAATTGTTTTACTTTTTTTAAAGTATTTAGAAATATAAAAGTAATTGAATTTCAACTACAAATACGTCCAATACAGTATTTAAAATATTTACTTTATTTTATTAAATATAAGCTGTTTTGTGAACTAATGTATGTTTAGATGCAATCGGGATATTTGTATTTAGGATAAAATACGACCTGAATTCGGGCCGCAATCGAGCAACTTCATTTTTTTATAGATATGATAAAATAAATTTAATTTTAATATTATAATAGGTATTAAAATTAAAGGAATTTAGCAATAAGCACGTCATCATTCTAGGTTTTAAGCTCTAAATAATATTTATATATAAATGGGCGTTTAATGATTGTGCGCGTTATAATATATTTACATTAGAGCAACGTTGCCATGTATATAGAATCATGATAAATCCGTACGATACTTTAGTAGATTATGGTAAATTATTTATTACCTACTTATTATTGCCGATGCCAGACAAACTTACCACCACTAAGAAGTAATTGGTTATATTTTAGAATTTTAGATCATACTGTTATAATGAATCAGAATTATTAACTCTATTTAAATTCCCACACATGTACAAATACAATAATCATGCATAATGTGACTATACTTATTTACTGTCAGTTATGTTCGTGTTTTAACTGTATCACAGTGTTAAATTTTATATTCATTTTTTTAAATTATATTAGTATGATATTATAATATTTATATTTGTATTTAAATATTAAAAATAATTATGATATAAGTAAATTTTTGTTTAATAAAAAATTTGGCAACGTTGCATCCAATTTAACCCCTATTCCTACGGTTTTCAATAGTTAAAATCATGTCCTTTGTTATTCTGGCATTGTGCACAACCCTATACCCAAAAAGATAAAACGCGCGCAATCGTACTCGCCGATATAAATGAATATATATTTTGAATTCAGTAACTGGAGGTTTTTGATATGTTTTACATATTTTGACATTTTAAATTCTAAACGAGGCGATGAATGTAGGGCTATAAATGTAATACCTACTAAAATTCGGTACGGGACCACTCCGATTTCATTCTGTGATAACAACATAATAAAAGATATATTATGTAGCCCAAACAAACCAAGCAAAATTAATTTTTTCTATGTTTTGGGTAGTGGGTACCTATGGATATAGAAGAGATGAATAAAATAAAAAAATCGATAAAATTTATCAAAAGAAATAAAAACTAGTTAGGTTAGAAAAAAATAATCACTGCTACTCACCTAAACACGATTAAATCATTTGGTATTTATTATAAAGAACAACCCTAACGCAGTGACTTCCAACATTTTTTTAGTCACAGAACCATATTATTTTCTGTCCCGACGGAAAGAGAACCAGCTTCATTCATTGTTCAAATTGAAATTTTAGTCTAAAATGTTTATAAATTTATTTTCTCCTAATTTCTTTACGAAACCTTGGCTGACCTTGACTCATGGGACCTTTGGGATCCGCAGAAAACCATTTTGGGAATACTGAAATAATGTCTTTCGCCATCTTGGATATTTAATGTATTCTTGAGCAAACAACAATATTTAATCAAGGGAATGTATTGTAAACATATAATACCCTGGGGTGACCCAACATGAAATTTTCAAAATATCTTTTTTTATTATATACTTATTTAGTTATGGGTTTACAAGTTTTTATACACTATACCCTTATCGTAATAAATTATTGTGTCAAACATCCAGAGGACCTCTGAACGTTGTACAGCCATGATGGTGCGCTTAATCTCTATCCCTACCTATATACGATGAGTCATACACAATGGTAACAAAAAGATACTATGCTCTTTCAATTTCTTAGTTGTTTACACTGTACAATAACGGAAATCGAGTCTCGTATGAGTCGGATTCTATCAGTAGTTAAATGAACACGTCATTTATTTTACTGAGTCTTAGCTCTATCAATAACGAAAATCGAATCAGAAGTTATTTAAATTTAAGTGCATATATATATTTTTTTTCGTTGTATTTATTTCATCGGACTAGTTTTTTTTTAAAATGGCAACAGTATTTACTTCCACTGCGTGGTTGGTGATGTTTGAATTTTTACTACCGGTGTCGTGGCGAATTAGAAGAAGCAATGAATTATTTTTTAGTGCAGTCGAGTTATCGGCCTTATTTAATGAACAAATGTAAGTCTGGATTTTAATTTTAATTTAAATTTATTCATTTTTTTTAATTGTTTTTGTCTTATCTTATACGTTTAAATATTATGATAAGGAACGAAAACCGATTTTTAATGGATGAAACTAATGAAAGTGAGAACGAAAATGACGAAAGTGCTACAGAAGACATACTTACCGATTTGTAATATACCAGATACTGAACTCAGTAATACATTTAATTCTTTAAGTAATTTACTGGATAGATTTATTTCAGAAGATACAATTTATTATATCGATTATATACATTGTTCAAAACTGGGAGATAATGATGTATTTTGAAAAATATATATTGGAAAAAAACATTTCTTTAAAAGTTAACTGGTACGTAAAAACAAGCTTTTCTAATATATAGTTTTTGAGTAATCTTAAAGTGGGTTGTAATGAGAAAAATAAAGTACAAAGTACAGACTCTATTTTAGTAGTATTAAAAATAAAGAATTTATAATTAGAAATAATATGTAATAAGGGACAATGTTTTTTGTTACACTTAAACCGAAATGTATTAAATTTTAAAATTTAAGCACACTTTCTGTTGACTTGAATAAAAAAAAAAAATGTAATTTTTTCAAATCATACAATTTTTAAATATATTTCTTAGGCGGAAAAGAAATAGAAAAAATATCGGCTGTTTTCGATAAGAAAATTAGTTACACAATATTTAAAGCCTTATAAACAGAATATAAACTGTATCTTCTAGTTAAATCTATCTAATAATAATACAATTTTATTGCATGATTTTTTTTTTTAATACAAAAATGTATACACATATGATTTTTTTGTAATTAAATTATATTATTTTTTCATACAATACAAATCTAACCTTTATGAAATTTACTATTTTTGTATTCATAATTATATTTTCCTCGATATTTATTAATTCCAAAGTCTATTTTCATCGATATCCGCTATTACATTGAAATTATAGTTAGATTTTTAGATTCTTAGCGGATCGATAAATATAATGACAAACGCGGCACCAAACATTTATTACTGGGGAAGAGAGGCAGTATCATGGCAAAAATCATGTGCAATTTGAATGTATTCTATTAATTAACTAGGAGAAAAGTTTCGAGTTAGCTTTTTTATTTTC